GGAGGAGGAGGAGGAGGAGGAGGAGGGGGAAGAGGAGCAATGGAGGGGGGCGGGGCGCGGTGAGGAGCGCCAGGAGGGGCGGAGAGGCAGGAGGGGGGAGGGAGGAATCAGAGGCAGGCCAGGGGGCTCCTGGAGGAGGTGCAGCGGGAGCGGGAGCACGATGAGGCCTCGGCGGGGGCGGCGCCCCGCTTCCGCGTGCGCGGGCGCGGCTTGAGCAGGAGATCGACTACAGAGTTGATTCACCGCGTAGACCGTAGAGCGTTCCGTAGATCTGCCACGTAGAAGTCCAGGCGATCGCAAACATGTATCGAGGGGGCGTGGATTAACGACGGGTCCCGTTTACATGGGGGCATTCGCGGATTTCCGCCGCCGAGCGAGGCGGCACCGGCCGCATTTTGGGGAGGGCACTTCCTCCGATCCATGGATTTGGCCATGTTTGCGTGCCCCCGAGAAGTGAAGAATCCATGTATCACTACAGAACGTAGGTCGGCCACGTAGAACGTTCCGTGGATCCAGCACAACAGGATTGATTTACCACGTAGAGTTGCAGAATCTAGGGATGATGCGTAGAACGTTATACCACGTAGAGTTGCAGAATCTAAGTGTGATGCGTAGAACGTTCCGTAGATATGCGGAGCACGGATTTTTGGTAGATCTCGATGAGACAGAATTAATGTTGGGGTAAGTCAATTCTGTAGTCGATCTCCTCCTGGAGTGGTCTGCGAGGATGAAGTATTGGCAGGCGTACGACGAGGTCCACCAGGAGCTCGAGGTTCGCTGCGCGGTCTTTTTGTTGCGCGCTGGCTGCTCACCTGGTGCCCTCGTCTCTTGGATCCCAGCTGGTGCGCACGCTCCAAGCTAGGGGAGGCGGCGGACACGTGTGCAGCCAAGGCATGCTCGCGTCGTTGAGTGACTCTCAGCCAGATGTTTTCGGTGGTTTTCGGCTTCCGGGGGACCTCGTTGCGCGCCAGGGCCGACCAACAACGATTCGGGGATCGCAAACGGGACCCGAGGCACAGGCCGGGACATCCGGGGACTGCGTATCGACAAGATCAAGGGAAGAGCGTGTTCTACCGCTGCTGGCGGAAAACCGGGTGGGGTCACTGGGGGTTTCTAACCCGTCCCCCCCCCTCGAAAACCGGGGGGGGGGTCACTGCCGGTCCGAACCCCCCACCCCTCGAAAACCGGGGCGGGTCACTACCGGTTCGAACCCCCCCCCCCTCGAAAACCGGGGGGGTCACTACCGGTTCGAACCCCCCCCCCCCTCGCCGCCGGCAAACGATGCCCGTTCCTCGGGACAGTTGGAGAATGGTGGGGATGTTGGGACAGTGGTGGGAACGGTGGTGGTGGGGACAGTGGTGTGGGGACAGTGGGACAGCGGTGCGGACAGTGGTGGGGACGGTGGTGGTGGGGACAGTGGTGAGGGGACAGCGGGACAGGGGCGGGGACAGTGGGACTGGTGGGACAGTAGTGGTGGGGACAGTGGTGAAGGCCGTGGTGAGGACAGTGGTGGGACAGTAGTACAGTTGGGGGAGTGGTGGGGACAGTGGGAACAGTGGGACAGCGATGGGGACAGTGGGGACGGTGGGACAGCACAGTGGGACAGCGGCGGGGACAGTGGGGGACAGTGGGACAGTGGGACAGTGGGGACAGTGGACAGTGGTTCGGGCCGTGGAGAAAGTGGGGAGAGTGGAGCCGAGGTGGGAACAGAGGTGGGGACAGTGGGGACAGAGCGACAGTGGTGGGGGCACGGGTGAGGACAGTGGTGACGGTGGTGGGAACAGTGGGGACAGTGGTGGTGAGGACAGTGGTGCTGGGGACAGCAGTGGGGGATGTGGTGCGGACGGTGGTAGGGACCCAGAGTTGTGTGCTGGCGGTGGGCGTGGGGGGGGTGGGGAGGGCGAACCGGTAGTGACCCCCCCGGTTTTCGAGGGGGGGTGGGGGGGGTTTCGAACTGGTAGTGACCCCCCCGGTTTTCGAGGGGGGGGGGTTCGAACCGGTAGTACCCCCCCCCCGGTTTTCCGGAAGGGGGGGGGGATTCGAACCAGTAGTGAACCCCCCCCCCGGTTTTCCGGAGGGGGGTTTTGCCGGGGGGAAGGGGGGGCAGGGGAGGGGGGGATTTTCGGAGGGGGGTGGGGGGCCCCGGGTTCCGGAGGAAGAGGGGGGGAATTCTCCATAGGAAAGCGGCGGTGGAGCACGCTCTCTCAGATCAAGACGTCGCATGTCTGGGCGAACGGCGCCGGGCCCAGGCTTCGATGAGGCTCTCGGGCCTGTGCACCTGGGGTCGGCCCTCCTGTGCTGAGGCGGAGGGGTGCTGTACGTTCTAGTCTCGTCGTCGTTGTTGCCCTGCTCTTTGTCCTCGGAGGAAGAGTCAAGGGAGGAAGAAACACCTGGACCGGGCATTTGGCGTTTACTAAACGGCCCCGGGCGCTTACTAAACAGCCCTGCCCTGTTCGATTCCTTCTTTGGGTGCGTTTATTATACGGCTTCGCATGTCGGGGTGGTTGTTATCGGGGTGGATTTTCTGCCCTCTTAAAGAGGTGAGACTCTTTTGCCACGCTTTCCGATTCCTGGCTGGCCGCAGTCAACGGGCCGCGCCTCTAGCTGATAGTCCAGAATCACGAAGGAGGGGATGATTATGATGATTAAGTCGGGCGTGTCCTCTACAGGGAAAATATTCAAAAGTAGTCAAAAAATAGTATGGGAACGATTTTTGCTTGTTTTTTGTATGATAAGTAGGGGACGCGCCCGACCCGACCTAAGACTATGATGAGGAACGCGAGAACGAGAGTGGGGAGAGGGCGGAGAAAATGCAGAGGAAGCGGTGGCAGAACATGTGGAGCATTCGAGAGACCTGCAGGAGAGCTTGAGAGTTGCGAGGGTATGTGGAAGTCCAGGAAAACTGGAAGGCACAGCATGTGGAGCATTCGAGAGACCTGCAGGAGAGCTGGAGAATGGCGAGGATGCATGGGAGCCCAGGAAGACTGGAAGGGAGGGGGCGGGCCTTGAAGCATGGCAGCCCAGCAGTTGCAGTCGGAGAGCGCGCCCCAAAGAGCAGGTGGAGGGAGTTCGAGCACCTGATGTTTGCGAGATGGGAAGATGGCTCAGATGGGTGCCGTGCGCCAATCCTCCGTTTGATCCTCCTCCTGTCCTTCGAACCCGATTGCTAGGAAGGCAGGCTTGGGGTTGTTTATTCAAAGCAGACCCGGCTGGGCATCAGAGCCTCCTGGAGTTGCTTTTTCTCCCCCTCGTGCTGTTGCAATATGGTGCGCCCCTTGGAAGTCATGCCTGCGGCCGACCGCGAGGCCGAGCTGACCGCCGAGCAGGCGTCAGAGGCTCGGCCACTCTCTCAAGCAAGCATTCCTCGCCGACTGGCATGGGTGGATCATGGAGGAATTGTGTGCGGCATCTCTTTTCCTTTTCCGCACTTCCCTCTTCCGCCCACCCTCCCATCCGCTCCTGCCTCTGCGGTTGTTTTCAGGTTTCCTTGTCGGTGTTTAGAGGTGCCGTATTCAGTTTCTCTTTGCATTAAATCATCCGCGGCATTGGCAGGAGGAGGGTCGTTCCGAATGGCCAAAGTCCACCCTGAAGCTTGATTATGTGCAGAAGTTGTCGCCTCCGTACCATCCTTGTGGTTGCAGAGGGGGATGAAGGCAATCGGGGGCTGCCTTCTGGCTGGAGGTGATGGGTGGGAGGAGGGATACAGAAAGGGTATGGAGGGATAGCATAATGCTTAGGGATGTAAGGGGATTCGGCAATAGATGGGAAGGGGACGAGGGCCCTCTTGGGCTGTCTTGGCGACGTCCCAGGAGATCGAGGCGTCGTTGACGCCCGGGAGCCGGTTTGGCCCTCCCTGACCCCTTTCCCTCCAAGCTGGGCAGAGCGACCCCCTTGCGGAGGGGCTTGCGGAGGGGCAGCCATCTCGCACGCCCGCACCTCCCACAGATCGGCGAGCTCGTATTGTGTGTGTGTGTGTGTGTGTGTATGTGTGGCCTCCCGTGGTCCGCGGCGGCGTGCCGCGTGGCTCGATGTGGGCCACGTGGATCCGGCGCGACCTCTCCGTGCCTCCGTGGCTTGATGGCCCCGTGTGCTGTTACAGTCAACCCGCATAGGAAGGATCGGCAACCTGCCCAAGGGTACCCTTGTATCCTTGCCTCCTCGGTCCACCCTTGGCCGCTTTCGTTGGCCGCGCCCCGCTCGCAAAGTGTCAACATGGTCTTCCAAGGCCCTTGCATCCTTATCGTGCATCCTTCTGATACGGGTTGACTGAACCCTCCGTGGTTCTGCATGGGGCGGTGTCGGACGTCTGCCGGGTCGGGCGGAAGGGTGGGGATCAGGAGAGGGGCTGCGGAGTCTTCCGCGTGCAGCTGATCTCTGCATCGCCGCCGCCGGGCGCTCTGCTCGGTACGTGGGCGCCCGTGGCGTCAGGAGGCGTTGGGAATTAGCAGCTGCACGTAGCCGATTCGCGGACCCAGTAGAGGCCTTAGATGTCTCGGCGTCTAGGAGGGGCCTCCTCTCCCTGATCAGGGCAGCGCAGACTGCGGGGAGCCATGGCATGTGTGGTCGGCTGCTGCATCTGGGAGTCCCCTATCGGCCCTATCGGCTTTATCGAAGCCAGCTGGTTTCATGGATCCTTGAGGTGGCTGAGGAGGAGGAGGAGGAGGAGGAGGAGGAGGAGGAGGAGGAGGAGGAGGAGGAGGAGGAGGAGGGGGAGGAGGGGAGGAGGAGGAGGAGGAGGAAGGAGGAGGAGGAGGAGGAGGGAGGAGGGAGGAGGAGGCGGGAGGCGGAAGAGGAGGAGGCGGAGGAGGTGGAGGAGGAGGAGGAGGAGGAGGAGGAGGAGAGGAGGGGAGCAGGAGGGGGAGGAGGGAGGAGGATCAGGAGGAGGGAGGCGGAGGAGGCGGAGGAGGAGAGGAGGAGGAGGAGGAGGTGGAGGAGGGAGGAGGAGGAGGCGGAGGAGGAGGAGGAGGCGGAGGAGGAGGCCGAGGAGGAGGAGGTGGAGG